ACGATTTTCCTGGTGATCATTGGTGACGTTAGTTGGCACAGTCATTTAGTTGTGCAAATGGATTATCACTAACAGCGCAGTCATTTAGTTGCGCAAATAGATTATCACTAACATCAGCATATTCGATAGAACGCAAATCTGAGGTAACATCTCCTGTTAACTCTACGAGTCATTTTTTCATTGGACCAGTTAACCTAGATTGCTAATTATCTACACGTTCGCGAACTAAAGCTTTTAATGGAGCGATGTAGACTACTTTAGAACGTGGATGTTCACGAAATGCCCACCTTAAAGACAAAAGAATTTAATTTTCACGCGTGCTGAAAAATAGAGTATAATTCGTTCACTCACCACATTGCTAACTCAGCAGTAACCGTTTTTCCTGATCCTGTAGGTGCCTCAACCAATACATTTGTTAAAGAATTATAAAGTATTTCAAATACCTGAGTCTGTACAGGATTGAAATGAGTAAATCTCTTAAAACATATCTCTTCAAGTGTTTTATTCTTAAGAGCAGTTACAGGTAATGGAATTAAATTCAACAATTCTGTATATTGATGATAATTTTTAGGCAAAACTAAATTGTTTAAAGAAATTGGAAGAAATGCCTCAGCTCCTATCCACCTATCTGATATGACACAAATATATAATTGAGGAGGTAATCCTTGGATTAGAATTGCAAACCTAATCTTTTGAGTTTCATCAAGTTGCTTCCTGTTTAATATAAAATATTCTGAATGATATAATTCAATATTTTCAGAATCCTCGACGAATATCCACCATGGTTCTATAATACCATGAATACGATCATTCCAAACGAAATCAGGAGTAATACTAAGAGTTACTCATAGAATATTACGTGTAATCAGTGCAACTTGTGCTTCCAATCTAAGCATTGGAAACATGTTTACACATTTAGAAATATAAGTTCCCATGTTATTCTGCCTAACTAATTGTCCAAGATCAGCCGAGGACATATCTCTCATGTCCTCTAATGAAGGGATATGTGAATTATTTTGAAGCTTCATTATAGTCTCTCGAGGCAGTTTAAATTGAGCCAAAGGATTCTCATACGTCCACATACGTTGAACAATACATTTACATAAATCTAATAAAATGGACAAAACTTGAGCCCAGTTACGACTCAAAGCAATTTCGAATAAAGCTCGAACTATGCGACTTGTAATCTGTACCATATACGCTGAATCAGATATTAAAGCAAAATTTTCAATATTAGCATTTGATAGGTATGCTTGTAATAAAATATTGACTTTTCCAGCAGTATCATCGGTAGTATGCTATTTATATAGCAATAAATCAAAGTAAAGTCAATATTTTTTTTAGAAAAGTTCATCATCAATCGGGATATAATACAACCTTAATTTGACAAGGACAAGCATTTTCCTTAAGTTTTTCAAGTTCTTTAGCCTCCTCTTCTCTTGATTTCAAATCCGCAAATTCGCTGCTTTGACTTATTATTGATAGAATA